TCCTTTAATAATTTATTTTCATATAGTTTTTTTTTTTCTCCTTTCTAACTCCAATAATGCATGATTTAATACAAGAAACTTAAACTTGTTTATTAAAAATTTTAGCCATCAAATCAAATGTATTATTATAATACTAAATTAACAAATATTCATCTTTATTCATAAAACTATATATCCAAACTCATATTTCTAGACATGTAAATCACCCTATGGACAATCAACTTGAAAGAAAGTGGCAAAGAAAAATTTACTCTAAAAATAAAATTAATAAGTAGCATTCTCTTTTAAATAACTTTATAAAGAAATAGAGAAAAAAATAAAAAAATATTTAGAAAAATAATGATTCTTATAAAATGAAATTTAAATAATTATTTTTTATTTATAAATATTTTAACATGAATAAAATATTCATATTTTATTTTATTTAAACTATTTTTACTCATAGGCCAATTTAACTCGAATGTTTTGTTTCTAGGTTAAATTGAATCAAGAGTCGTAATCCACATTTAAATTAAATTTAATAATGCTTTTATTTTCATATATGAAAGTTGAAAATGAATGAGAGGTCTATGTGAAAATCACACTTGATGAAATAAATAAAGAAGAAAATAATAATAATAATAATAATAATAATAATAATAATAATAATAAATGGAAATATTTGAATGAATTGGTAACGGAACACTTGTAAATATAATTAATGATATTATTATATAAAAATATTATATATAAAGAGTTATTAGATGCTATATTTAAGTGAGTAATTTGGAGGACATGAAATTGATTAAAGTTTAGCCTAGATTTCACTATCAAAAGCAAATTTGGCTGATGGTTGCTGCAATGTGTTGGATGATTAAATAATTTGTGCTACGTGACGTATCGTGTTAAATCGAATTGACTCCTCCTAATGCACCGAAAGAGAAATCTTTTCTCATTAAATGGAAGAGTTTTCTTTTTTATTTTAGTGGCTAATTCATCACCATACAAGCCAAAAAGTTAAGTATAATATACTGATAATAAAGAAAATGACAACTCTACCAAACTGTAGAATATTACTATACGTGAGATATTCTAAAGTAATGTAATAACATTAAATTTAGATAAAGTATGTAAATTTGCTAAATACTAGTAAAAAATATATTAATTGTTGAGTTTTTTTACTAAAAAAAATATCGATATTAATGGATTATAAACATTTTATACAGAAAGTTACAACATTATTTGAGAAAATAGATGTGTAAGTCTTCTTTGGTATATATTACTCTTCATACTATTTTTTTTATTTAATATAATACCAAACTTTTATTTAAAATTCTAACAATCTCACGAGACATGGTTACATGAAACCTTTTGTTAGAAAAACCTTTTATATAATATTAATTTGTTGGTTTTTCACTAAAAAATGTCTAAAAATTCAAGGGTGTTGCTCCCTACACCACGACCCCTTACTCCCTCCACCTCCCCATTATTATTTTGCCCTTCAGTAAAATTTTATTTTTAGGGTTAATATTTTTGAAATTTTACCCACTCCCAACCCATATACCTAGTATTCTACATGCAGCGGCAAACACACAATCTCTTCTTTCTCTTTAACGTTGAACTTCTTCCTCTCATTTGTTGTGCTGTGTGAGACTGCAGTAGAATTTCATTACGTGGTGTACGTGAGAGGTTGCAAATATTAGTGGTGGTGGAAGGAATTGATACAATGCCAAGAGTCGGTCTTGGTGGTGTGATAGTGTCAAAGGTTACAGTAGTGCTTCGTCCAGGTGCGTAATCAAATAATCCTAAAATAAAGATTTAAACTTTAAACAGATGTCATCCTTCAGTGGATGTCAACATCGTTTAAGGTGAAACGGATGTCGACATTCGTTTAACCTTAAAAGATGTTGACATTCGCTGAAGGATGACATCCGTTTAAAGTTTAAATCTTGAACATTGTGACATACTGGAAGAGGTGTTGTGATTATTAAAAATAACAAACCTACTTTTGAGCTTTAGCACTAGTATGCAGAACATGGTTACATGATGTATCATCAAAATATCATATTTTTTTTCTTATTCAATGCTAGTGTCTGTAATATAATTTGGGTTCTGTTGTCAGTCTAATTTCTGCATTCTGAGTGCCTCAGTTGTATGATACAGGTCGGTTACCACACAACATTATCACTTGCAAACCATGTGAAAAATTTTCACTCTCTAGATTTATCTTGGTGCATAATTTTGACAGATAATGCACTTGGTTTGATTGTGGATAGCTGCGTGGCGTTGAGGTTACTCAAACTTTTTGGATGCACTCAGGTATATATATGTATCTCTGATACATTTATATGTGGACGTATAAATTATCGAGTTCACCATTCATCATTTACATGGGTTTTTATAAAGAAATGTTTTTTGCATTTTTGCAGGTAACAGATGCATTTCTTAATGGTCACTCAAACCTATAGATGCAGATAATTGGTTTAATGTCCTCCAGTTTAAGAATGTCAACGTTTCCAGATCCTCGTCATGTGGTGGCTTTGAATTATTACATCAGTCCTCTTGGGATTTGGTATCAAATTAGTACAAAATAAAAACATATAGTTGGTAGACATTGATATCATAACTAAAGCTTATGAAGATATTTCAAGTAGATCTTTTTTTGCCAAGCCATAATTTTGAGACGGAGGAAATAAGGTATTTGCATTAAGTGTAAATGGCCGGAGTTCGTGGAGCATTACCGTTTCATCATCAGTCCACGTTCTGGAATATTTTTATAAATGCTAAGTAGCTAGCCTCCTAGGGGCATGACATCAGGCTCCCTCGTTGCTTCATTAAAAGTTCAATTCACATTTTAAAAAATATTGACAGAAAGGTTTCATGAAAAATATCTGTTTCGATCACTTATCTCTGACCTTTTGTCAACAGAGCAAGAGAGGTTGCTTAGCCTAGTCTTTGTAACTTATTTGTACCATTGTCTTTTATTTAATTTTATAACAATTATGCATATTATGTGATTAGTCTTCCTAACTTGTGACATGTGTTATTTAATTATTTTACTGATTAAATAATTTGAATCATAAATGATTAAATAATAATTTTAATCTGTCGACTGGATGTCGAACATCTCGTTGAAGGCCAAACGGATATCCCACATCTGTTTTGGCCTTCGCGGTTCTGAGAGACAAACCAAACACAACAGCAGCACATGATAAACAGATATACAGATTTAAACTAACCTAGGATAGAGATGAAAAACCAGGTCTACCACTATATTTATGCTCCTTCTCTACCTTCTCCAAATCAACACCAACTAATGGAAGGAAGCAAAGCAAAAGGGAAGTGAAGAATAGAAGGTTGAAAGAAAAAGAAAGAGAAGGAAGAAGAAAACCTTGAACGAAGATTGGAAGAGAAGAAGAGTGAAAGATGTGGTGTGTGGTGGGGTGCAGCTATAGTGAGAGGTAAATTAGGGTTTTAAATATGTTAAAAAATTTCAAAAAGTAAAAAGTAAAAAGTTAAAACAAATGGTAGTTTTAGAAATAAGATAAATTAAGAGAAAGTGAAGGAGAGTAAGGAGTGGAAATAGAGGGAGCTAACACCCAAAATTCAATATCATTAACTCATAAACAACATTTCCCTTTCAAATAAGATAATAAATGTGAGTCCTTATTTCTTACATAATACTTTTTAGACTTATTTTTAGTTAATATAAGACAAACTTTCATTTAAAATCCAATAATGATGGGCTATCTAATTTGAACATAAATACTTATAATAAAAAGTGTAAATTATTCAAACTAAAAATAATAATGAAGGATTTTAAATAAAGACTATTAGAACTAATTTTAAAAATCAAAACTCGTGAATAAAAATTATAGGACTAGTTATTGTTCAACCTTACAATATTTTGCACAACAATATATTAAGCATATCAAATACACATAATATTTTTATTTTTGAATCATGCTGAACTTTTTTTACCTTGAAAACGTTTTATTACTTATAGTATGTCCAGTTTATATTTTATATACTTGTTTCCTTTTACTTTTCTTTCTTCACTAAACACGAATTAGTTTAAAACAAATTCTTACAATATAATATTTTCTTTCATAAGATCAAGTATAAATTCGAGACAAACATATTCAAGCTTCCAGTTCATTCCATTAACTGTCAATTTTATAAATAAAAACCTTAAATTTTGTCTCAATTAATTCTTAAATTTACATATGCACACCTAACTTTTAATTCCATCTAATTAATCCTTAAATTTACTCTTAAACTACCAAAAAAAATCTCAATCATCATTGATTTTATTTAATTTTATAACCCTCTTCCAAACATTAAATCATATAAAGTTAAGATTAAAAAATATTTACTATTTTGTTTCATGTAGTTTTTTTTAAATTAATGTTTTATTAATTATATGAAAGAATGAAAATGTAAGAAAAATGATTATAAATAATTAACATTAAAGATGAATAAGTTATTGACTTTTCTTTTTGTTAGTTTTTTTATCTTAATTTTAAGGTGAAATAGATTTTAAACTAATAAAAAAATAATATGTGAAAAAAAATGTTAATTTAAGATAAAATTAGAAGAAGTCTATTTGTTTGTACAAAAGTAAATTTAAAAGTTAATTAAAGGTTAATTTAAAAAATTTATAACTTAATTAAATAAATTAAAGTTCAACGTATGTAAAATTCAAGAAACACTGCAGTTTTTTATCCCGAATTTTATTCTTACATTACCTAATAATGATACAACATAACTACAAAGTTTTAATAAAATCTCATTTTTAATAAAAAAAATTTAAAACTTATTTTAGAAGGAAATAAAAGACAAAAGTGTTTCTAAATACTAATAAAATAACGAATTCCCTGAAAGAATATTAAAGTAAAGTTTTGTACCAAAAAAAAGATAAAAAGGTGTTAAAGAAGAAGATGGTTATATAACAACGCATTGCAGATTTTTCGTTTGTGGAGGGTTGTCAGAAAAACCAAACAGAAGCGAAAGAGAGGAAGCCGTGATTACAAGGCTTTTCTTCTCTGTCTGTCACTCTCTTACTCTGTCACGCACATTGCACCAACAATCGCATCCATTTCTCTCTTTCACTCCGATTCATGAGTCGCTACGATCCCAATCCCTTCGACCAAGAAGAGGTCGAGGTTAATCCCTTCGCGGTTAGTATTTATTTAACCTAACCTCCTTTCATTCGATTTTCCGCTGCCTAATTCATTCTTCGGAGTCGCTATTCGCTGTACCTAGATCCGTTTCGTTGCTCCAGATCGTTCCTCAATTGAACGAACGCCTTTTTGAATCGTTAGAAAATTTTCGGATGTGTTATTACTAATAACTGAACTGCGGAGATATCAATAAGGGTTGAGTGGATAAGATCTTAGTTTTTCGAAACATGCGGATCGTGATTTTTAATTAGTTTTAATTTTAACTGTTTTCGTTTCAGTTTTACGATCTGGTTGATGGACCTGTCGTATGCTGAACGACTTGAATTCTTTGTTATTTTGACGGTGTATTCTTTTTTGGAATGCTCTTAAATTTGTTTTGTTTGGGGATTTGAGAGATCGAACTGCCGCAAACAGTGGTTCTGTCGGGATTAATTTTTGGCCGGCTAAATAATGTAATTGATTTGTAAATGTGTTTGCTTATGTGAAACTGTATAGTTTTTCCTTCCTGGTGGTGTCTTCTCCGTTGAAAAATCTATCAATTGTTTTTTATTTGAACTTTAGTGTTATCTTTCGAAATAAAAAACAGTTTTGAAATGTATTTATTTATATGATGTTACATATCTTTTCGGTCAGAAGAAACAACTATATCGGGTCAACAAGGGAAATTCGTCAACAAGGAAAATTCGTGCTAAAAAAATTAGCGACCTTGATGCTTTGAAGACTCTTCTCTTGAGGATGAGGTGGAAGAGTCATTGTACGCCGTTTTTTTCCTAGCCTGAAAAAAAAAATTGTTATTTTCGAATTCGAAATTTGAGAAAGTCATGAATCTAACCAAGAAAAAAACGCATTTTACCAATTACACTAGTAGTTCTCCCAAGCACAAGATAAAGATATTTAAATCACTTATATACAGAAAGGCTAAACTCTCGTTTGGGCTGATTCTGTCTTTTTGGAAGGAACAGAAAGTATTTATCAGTCATTCCCAGGCAGGGAGTTCCTCAATGATTTAAGAAGAGACCGACTTCTCATAATTTTTTTCAATGTTATTGAATTATTGATTATTTGTTCAGTGAATATTAAATGAAACATGTTCTTCTAACTATGCCATGATTGTTGCTTTTGTTGGTTTGAAATTTCAGAAGTGACACCTCATATGCTGAGCTCTTGTGGTCTTGCTTATTTGATTATTAATTTAGAACTGAAACATTTTTCCTTTTTATTATTGATATTAGGATGGACAGGCTAAAGGAAAAGGGTCAAGTTATGGTGGAGGTGCATTTTATACCACTGTAAGTTTGCCTTTTCATGTTGTTAGGATATTTATCCTATTTTATCATCATTATAGTGGGTCAAGGGTTACCTATTTATCATGATTATATTGTGTCTAGGATTACCCTATTTATCATGATTATATTGTGTCTAGGGTTACCCTATTTATCATGTATTTGTGTATCAATTTATTCATATAAATAGAAGATTGTGAGAGGGATCAATCAAGACCTCTAATGTACTTATGCATTTATACACTATTTTATGAAATAATATTTAAACAAATAAATTAATCAATGTTTGTTGACTTTTGGTTTTAATCCTCTGTATTATAATTATGCAACAGTGCAAGGGCGATACTGTCACTGGTCTTACTCTCTAGAAATTCTTACTTTGAAGCTTTGGTTTCTGTATTATTTCCTCCTTTGTAATTAATCTAGAGATTTATATATACTTGATGGGTCGCGAGGGATCAATTGGTAGTTTGGTACTCTTGTAACGTTACTATGGATGAAATGGGTTTGTATTAGTTCTCTGAGATTGTAGTTTTGGTTAGTAATGACACATTGTTTGCTATCTTTAGTATTTTCCCCATTGTAACTAATCTAGAGATTTATTTATACTTGATGGGTCAGTAAGGACCAATTGGTAGTTTGGTGCACTTGTTATATTTGTAGTTTGTTGTTTTTATTATATTATTGGCACATGTTGGCAATTAACGATGTGCACTCTTGAGTTACCTAAGATGATTACATGTTGTAGAATACTAAAAAGTTGGAAAGGATTTTAGAATTCAGTGATAAGGATCTTTCATAATGTACAATATTTTCAAGTGTTTAAAATTTCTCACTTAAAAGATTGGTATTATTGTTAAAAAATGGGATTTGAAAACATTTCTGTGCAATAGGTTGTAAAGTTATACACTAATGGCAACTCTGTTTTTATGGAGGTTTTTATGTGGTATGATGATAGGAATTAATTTCGTGCGAGAGAGGGAAATCAATATTCAGCCTCACTTGGTTAGCTGTCTGTCAAGATGATTCTTCCATTTAAGTGGGGAAACTAGGATGTGAAAATTTTGGGATCTTAGTGTTAAACTTCATGGTGAAAGGGCATGAAGATATTCACCTCTTTGCATGAAAGTGATGATTTGTGGATGAAGGTTCTAGATTTAAGGATGGGTTTTCGTTTTTTGTGACAAATGGGTGTATCAATAGTATGAAAGGTATAAGAGTCCACTGGATGGGGGCATTAGAAGATAGTCAGGAGGCTCAAGAGTCATGTTCAGTCATCAGCAATGAAGTGGAATCGAGGACAGGGTTTACTAACTTGGAAGGGAAGATGTGATATCTATGGAATTTCTTTGATTTGAATTGAGATTTGCTAATTTTTTTAGGGCCTATGATGAGGACTATGAAATAGCAAGAGTTTGTGGATAACCATAATGGCCCTATTTCTTCTGTTAGGATCACCAGATATATTTTGGGTAGCAGAGAAGTCAAAAGATAACTTCTTAGGTCACTCTCTGTAGCCTAATGCTTATTTAATGTAGTAGTTGAGTGATGATTTTATTGAGGTGGAGACTGGAAAGAATTTGTTCCATATAAAGTTTGCATTAGGGGTTAAGAAGCAAAGTTTACCCAGTTTCCTTGGAAGGTATCTTAAAGTGTTCTTGGTTGGCCTAGGCTTTTTCCCTGTTTTGATTGCAAAGTAAGTAGGTCATACAAGTCTACAACCAAATGGTCAAGTGTTAAATTTTGGACGGACTTACTAATAGAATATGTTTTTATGTTTTTTGTTGTCATAAAATTTAGGAACCAGTTTGTGGTAGTACACTGCTATTATATTATGGTTTTGATTTTTGGTATTTTGTCTTTTTCTTTTCCTTTTCCATTTTGGGGGATCACTTAATGTAGATTTATGCAATACTATTATATGATGTTCTTTTCTGATGATTTGTCAACAGGATTATTTTGTGTCCTTTTTATTCCTACTGTCACTTTGGGGTTCATTTTCTAACAATTCTGTGTTTCTTTTTAAACATAATATGTAAAAGGAATAGGAAAAATGGTTTTTGTATTAACCTAGTACATTCTTTTTCTGAATTTGCAGAATTCTGGAAGTGTTCCCCCTGCAAACTCAAAGCTCTCACCCCTTCCTCCAGAGCGTTATGATCGTGGGGCAAATATTGACATCCCCCTTGATAACTCCAAGGTAGGGTGATTATGAAAATTTCGAAATATATGGTAAAACTATGTTCCTCAATGTTGTTGTTGACCAAAGATTTAATTTGCACTTCCTAACTTTAGGACACCAAAGCAAAGGAGAAGGAACTTCAAGCTAGAGAAGCTGACTTAAAAAGAAGGGAACAGGTGATTCATTTTGTTATCTCATATGATATCTTTAAAACCAAGTACACAACTTGAGTTAGAAACTTGGTTTCTCAGATTCAATATTATATACATGCAAAATAATTATGATGAATCTATAGACTCTTAGTTAGCATCAGGGACTTAATTGGTAGGAAGGGCAACTTAGGTCAATTATGTTCTCAGTGGCCATTTTTTCTTAGTCTTAGTGTTAGTATTTTGCATGTCGGTCAACCTTCTGTTGAGAATCTTGTTCAGTACATTAGCTAACCTTGTTATGAATATGACTTGGCCATTATGCTATAATAGTTTTTGCTGTATTCTAGAGATTGATTCTCTTGTAATGCTCTGTAGGAACTAAAACGAAGGGAAGATGCCATAGCACGAGGTACTTTGGTTCATCTATTCTTATTGAAATTGGTTAGACTGATGCCTATATTTTAGTGTTTTAACTTCTTTTTTCTTTTGCAGCTGGAATAGTTATAGAGGAGAAAAATTGGCCACCTTTTTTCCCCATCATTCATCATGACATTGGAAACGAAATACCAATACATCTTCAAAGGACCCAATACATTGCATTTTCGACATGGTTGGGTATGTTGAATTCGAGAACTGTCTTCTAGAATGTGTGAAGTCATATAGCTACTCACTTGATGACATGTAATTCAGTTGTAGGTAAAATAGGCATTGGTATATATCTAATGCAATCAATTGCATCAGTTGCTAAATGAATTTATTGAAATTGTTAAGCATTCCTTGTCTTCTGCACCGACAGACAATTCAAGAGATCAGTATGGTTTAAAATTCACACATATTTCATCCTGAAAGGAGTTTCACTTTAGTAGATTTTGTCTGCTCAAAATACTATTGTCTTGTGTGTATATGTTGTTTCTTTTTATTCAGTTAATTTTTCTTTTTTAACTCGGTTAATAATTTGTTCCAATGATTCACAACAAAATTAAAGACCCTTTCCACTAACATTTTATTTCTATCTTTTTCTTTTAGTGGGGAGATGTACTCTTCTATCTTCCTCTGTTCAACCTATAAAACCTCGAAAGTGTCCGTCCACCATTTCACTTGAAATGTGTATCATTATGATATTTTAGTGTATTTTAGATAATCTCTTAAGAGTGGTTTCCACAGCTTTCATAATTTGTTTATTATTTCATTAGGACCAGTGTTATTTAAAAATGGCCATGGCAGATTTCAGGGGCAGACTTTTCATAGACTGTCACATCATGGCTGTGGATTGTGTTTTCTGTGATGGCACTCAGTCCCTCTGTTGGGTTCAGAGCGGCCATGGCAATCCCGTGCTAAACTCTGATTTTCTCTTTTCTTTGGTTTCTATTCTGGGTTATACACCTGATCCAATCCATTAGTCCGCCCAGTTTCTTTTTTTTTTCTTTGAAAAAGGTTGGGTTGCCAAATGAAAAAGTAGAAACATAACCTACCCCTATGACACCCTATGCTGCCAACACACTGCCGCCATCCACTACAAGGTCATCTTGTTTTTCTTTCTTCTATTTCCTCTTTGTTTAGTGCCATCACCCTTCTCCGTTTTCTTTATTTCTTTTTCTTTCCTACTCATACTTATTCTTATACATCTGGGACACTTGATCACCTATTTTCCAGCAATCTCAATGGCAACTGTTATTTTAAGCCGTATGTTTTGTCATTATTTAATCTCTTGAACTGAACTTGGTGGTGTTTTGATTTGATTTAATTGTTATTTGAATTTCTAGACTTGCTATTGTTATTAATTATTAATTATGTGGTAGTCTCCCATTATTTTTGCTTTACAGTTATATTTCTGCATTTTTAATTATCTGTATGCATTTACTTCATGAGGCTTAGTTTTTTCAACTTTATAATATCTGCAGGTTTGGTTCTGTGTCTTGTATGGAATATTGTGGCAGTTACTACTGCTTGGATCAAAGGAGAAGGTTTGTAATGCAGCTGGATTTTGATGCATCAATCTTGTTTAGTCATGCTTAATTTACAACTTGTCTCTTCTTGTAGGTCCTACCATCTGGTTTCTTGCGATTATATATTGTATTTCGGGTGTTCCAGGATCCTATGTGTTGTGGTATCGCCCTCTTTATCGTGCTATGAGGTAGTGTTCGATTATATTTAATGCAATTTCTGCAGTTTAAAGTAGGGATGTGTGTTGAAGAAGTTTTTGAGCCTATTGGCTAAACTGAAAAAAAAAAGGAGGCAGAAGATATCTATGAAGCTAAACTATAGCTGAATTACGAGCATAAATCTTTTACTGCTAGAGCAGTGTTTGTGCCTTAGGTAATGTGTGGGGCAAGAGTGCCAGCCTTTGGAATCCATGCACCCACAGTTTACTTTCAGAAATACGTTCATCTGATCTTTATTTGGAAGGGGGGGCACGCCAAAAGAAGAGTGGAAATGATGAGATGGATGGAGGAGGCGGGTGGAGTCTGTTGATGCAAATGCTTATCATGAACAGAAATCACTCTATTTTCTAATTTCTGTTAGTTTATTAGTGATTTTTTGTTTTTCCAATTTGTTGCTGTTGTAATTGTGTGCCATCTTGTGTTACAGGACCGACAGTGCTCTGAAATTTGGCTGGTTTTTCTTACTTTACATGGCAAGTCTTTATGTATTTTCCTTCTTTAGTCTCGCTAGTTCTATTCTGATTTTGTTACGTGCTCATTTTTTTCCCTTTCCCTCAAACAGATTCACATTGCCTTCTGCATTCTCGCTGCAGTTGCTCCACCAATTATCTTCAAAGGAAAATCTCTGACGTTAGTGTCCTAATTTTCAATCTACGGGATAATATTTTGAAACTGATATTTTTCTGTAACTAGTGTTTTACTGATATGATCTTCTGGAAGCAAGGAAATCACTAAGGATGACTTGAGCGTCTCGAGCTTCTTACTAATTTCCCGTGTGGTGTTTCATCCATATACTAACAATATATTCTGATAACCTTGTAGATCATTAGTGTGACAAATACATTTATTATTCTCATTCCACTTCTACTCAAACTAATGGTTACATTTTATGATGTGGACAGGGGTATTTTGGCTGCGATTGACGTGTTGGGCGATAATGCATTGGTTGGGGTACGTTTCATTTCTATACATATTTGGACAAACTTTTGCAGAAATATTTCTACAAGAAAAAAAAATAAGAAAAAGATTAAATGAACTTCTCAATAAACTAAAATTAGTTTATACAGAATTTTAAAATAAGAATTTGGAAAAATTACCAGGGTTCTACAAATTAACTCATGCATAAATTAATTTTAGTTTGTGGAGATATTCATTTCTATTCTAAAAGTGTTTATGAAGAAGTTTGCCTCCGTACCAGAATGATACATTTACATGGAAATGATGTTTTACCTGTGGTGGTGAATTGCACAGATATTCTACTTTATTGGGTTTGGATTTTTCTGTCTTGAGTCAGTGCTGAGCATCTGGGTTATACAGGTTTTTATCATATTATGACTTACTCCAACTTGGTATTGCGTTAAAGTTAGTTGAGGTTTTTTGTTTGGCTAATTGATTTGATATTTGGATTGCAGCAAGTATACATGTACTTCCGCGGCAGTGGCAAGACTGAAGTTTTGAAGCGTGATGCTGCGAGAGGGACAATGATGGCAGCTCTATAACATGGCACTTGCAAATGTTTTCCCCATGCTTGCCAGAAAGATTATTTCATAAGTTACCAAATCCTTACACACTTTTTGCGCTTTGTTTAATACTGGACTTGTTTTTCTAGGCTTTTGGCTAGGTTTCAGTCAAACCAGATCATTAAGATAGAAGAAGCTTAGTTGTGCATATATAGAAAAACATTGTTTGAGATAAGCACCTTTACATTTTTTTATGTCAGCATTGCTTATATTTTTATTAACAAAATACTCAATCTATTCCTCCCTCTTTCTTCTTTTGTTCGCTTCACTAAACAATCCAGAATTGAATCAACTATAGGCTTCGTACATTTGTTAAAATCAGAACTTCTCTTTTGCTTGTTTCAACACTTCAAAGTAATCAGAAGCTATAATGAACAGTAACCCAATTAAAATAAATATGTTTTGAATAGCTCTTGATAGATTGCTGTTTTTATGAAAATGGTTTTTCATACTTGTGTTGGATCCTGATTTTAAATAATTTCAATGAATAATTAATGATTATTTTATGGTTTAAATGTTTTTATTTTCTATAAAATGAACTTTTTTAATTATATATTTTTATGACAATAAGAAGATTCTCTTTTACACATTTTATGTTTCTATTTTATCTGTAATTATATTTTAAAAAAAATCTATAATAAAATTTAAAACACTTATGAATACACCTAACAATATTGACACCTTATAGTATGTTATAATATAACAATTATCTTCTTAACTTCTATTTTATCTTTAATTGTATTTTAAATATAAAAAAGGAATTTTTTTTAGAATTTATAACTATTACAAAAGAACTTTACTGCTATTTTGGTGTATTTATTAATATAAATATTTCTTTTTATCCTTCTGATTCTGAAACTTGTTTTTTAAATTCAATGACTACCTCCAAAAAAAACTTTATTTATTTTGTTAATTTACCCTTCTAATTTTGGAACTGACTTTAAATTCGGTAACTACTTCCGAAAAAACTACCTACTTGTAATAAAATCATAGAGAATGTACACTATTTTCTGAAAAATTCATAGAATAGAAAAAATACCACACACAGGATCTTGGAATTCTAGTGATACTTCACGTTGTTACTCTTCATTACACAGTGGCAAACAGGAGAACGTTTACTGGATGCTAGTTGATAGTTTCTTCTTGGTCAATGCTTCTCCCTTCTCTTACTCCTCTTTAATGCTTTCTTGATGATACAGAAATTCTGAGGGATGTCATAGTTTCTTTTCTTTTCAGAGAACGTAACCTTTATTTATCTCTTTTCAGAAACTTAACCTGTCAACCGTAGTCAAACCTTTTCTCTCTTTTATGATATTTAATCAACTTTAATAAAATACCAAAATGCCCTTTATGAAGTGAAGAAGAGAAGATTAAGTTAAATAACTCTAAAATAATCCCTCGTAACTTGTAAGACATTTCTTAGTTGCTAAGTAATTCACATTAGAATCTGTACAATCGAAGTTGATATGTTAAATTAGCATGAACATCTTAAGGTTATTAATATAATTTATAGTAGTACATCTCTTAATTAGGGTGTGTTAAATCAGAAAAAGAATATCAAGATCCCTTATCTTTAACATGGCATGGGCCTAACAGAAAAGTTGAATCATGACCATCTAGCCATCAATGGATACAAATTCCGTACTATTCTTTAGAGTGAAGGCATGAACTCTTCTAACTATGGTGTTTATGTATGAGGAACCAATGATCAATTAGAGTTAGATTTCTATGAAATATTGATGAATTTAATTCTCTTTCATTATAAATAGTTTGGTAATACTCTTAATATAGGAACCAAAATAGATAATAAATATGGAATCATTCAAGTAAACCAATCACGGAGGTATAATAAAGCATATGATCCATTTATATTTACGCAACAAGAAAAGCAAGTTTATTACACAAAATATTCAGACGGGACACCAAAGTTGGTTAGGTGCAATCAAGACAAAAGCTTCTAGTAGAATATTTGATAACATAGTGAAGTCAAAGTTGAGCAGAGATTTCATTCCAAGACAATAAACTAATACAACTTTAAGTATTGCTACTGTAAATCCAAACTTATTTATGATTTTCTATCATGTCTAGATGAGAGGGAGGAAAAAAATAAAACTTGTAATTATTAAAAAACAAAAATAAATGAAGAATATGACAATTGATACATTTCACGTGAGGGTGATATCGACATTGATTTTGATTCAAGTGAGAGTCCTCAATAGTGAGATAGCAAAGGAGTGATGTAGATAGAAATGATTTTTTATGTTTATTTCATTTAATGTTTTAGATATATCCTTTAACTTAGAATACAATTATGTTGTATTTAAAACTTTCATGAAACATCATGTGGAGTTTCGTAAAAAATAGGTAATATTGTCATCTTATACTTCAATGTCAAATTTGAAATATTTAAATTAGCTAGAGTAAGTATACTTAATTGGATGTTCAATAGGGTAATATTGATTAAATATAATTTAATGTAGCACATCAAATTAGCCAATATGGAATAAAAATAAATAAATACACCTTAAGCTCTTCTTTGGCCTATGGGTTAATCCGGCATCACCATCTTCATCATCATGATCAACATCTTCATCAACCACTGATCTCAATTAGCCATGTTTTCTTTATAGAAGAAATATCGCCTTCTTCACACATCTACCTCGTCATCATTCATCACCAACATCACTCTTCTCTTTGCTATCACTAGTATTGTTGTCACTACTATTAAGGTTTCACTATAGGATAAGGGACTTCAGACTTGAATTTTTCATCTCCACCTTCGGTTCAATTTTGCTTTCACGATTAATTATCGACTGTTCGTTGTTCCTCCCGATAGCACGTATCCCTTACCTCGCCATCATTCTCCTAATATGCAAAAGAAGAGAGGAACCCCAGAAAAAAATTGACTTCTTTTTCCACACCAATCTCTTCAATGATAGGAGCCACACCCAGGCAAGGCACTCCGGAACCCAGAAGGCGCATACTTTGTTATGTATGCACTATCTGTAATTTCTAGGTCTCCACACCAACTAGACTCGAAGTTAAACTATCCCAACATGATTTGTGTTGGTCAACCCCAATACGGATATTCCAGGTTGACCACACTAGAGCCCGCGTTTTCTTGTTGGGAAGCCATTATATAACTCCTTCCACCGAATATGAAATCAAAACCAAAGCCAGTAGGCTTTGAAAATAAAGGGAGAGATCGTATGGTAGTTTAGATGTGGTCGCTTAAAACACTAGGGTTGGATGTGTGGCTTTCTGCAATGGGCGACACATTCTCACAGAGAGTAACATTATTTTATGTTGCGTAGGAAATTGAACTAATTGTCACTAGTTGAAGTAAAAAGGAGTCCTTGGTTGTGGATGAAGAGAATTTAATAAACAAGATTGAACATGACGGAACTGCTTAAAATGAGGGTGTATTTGAACATAAACTAAATAATAGAATTTGAAATTCAACCATGAAAAAGAAATTTGATTTAATTCGGACCATATGCGATGTAAATTTCTCACGGAATGTTATAAAAGTCCAGCAAGTCCACAAACACAAACTCAAAAAAAAAGAAATACACAATTAATTGACCTTCAGCTCAATCGATCAGTCTTGATCATTTCATCTAGTGAGCCGACGACTTGCTTGACTATGATTATAGGATGACTTGACTCGATCTTCGGTCAAAGCAAAGATTCGACATGAGTCTGCTCGGGTAGAGTTAAGGTGAAGTCGACCAGAGAAACATCGAGTTGAAGTACAAGGTTGAGTCGAGTTGGTTCGAGGTTGAAAGTTGAGTTGACGCTCGTTCGGCTTAGGCTGAAAGGGCTTCGAGATGAGTGAGTTCATCTGAGCAGGGCAAACCCGAGTCAGACTGGGGTAGATGGTCACAAGTTTAATTCGGTCTAAGTTCGAACGACTTTGAGCCAATCGGGGTTGGAGCAGAAGGTCAAGCAGAGTCGATCCAGGTTAAAGGTCGAGTTGGGTTAACATGGACCAAATGTCAATCTAAATCAGTCTAAAAAGAAAGTCGAGTCAACTCAAATTAAAGTGATAAGAAGTTCTCTACATATACATACATAAGCGTACAGAACTTATTCGAGAGAATGGATTGAGAGAACCTACTCTAATGAAAATTCTAATAGATATACTTATTCCACTCTACTCTAGAATTAATAATCTTTATAGAAGGAAATTCAAATAATCGATTTTTTATAAATAATTGAATTTTCTATTTATAAACTTTGTATTTTAATATAAAATATTTAAAATTCAATCTATAACATATTATTTTGTACGACCTTGAAACATGTTTAACTCACTCAAACTTGTATACGAAAAAAAATTTAATGAGAATGTTGGTTAACATAAGATAGAGAAAAAGTTCCATTTGGCTTAATTTAATGACTTGTCTTATTAAAAAGAAATCATTATCTTATATATACTATATAGATATAGCATATATATATATTACCTAATATATATATATATATATATATT